GTTATGAGTGCACTGTATGCGAGCAAGCACTGAAGGAAGCATCCAGCCGATCAACAATAACTCGTGGTCCGGCAACAAATGATGCTTCAAAATAGAGAAGTTGTGAGAGACAGGGACAAGTAGTCTTACCTTGCAAAACCGCACATCTCGCTGCTACAGACCCCGTTTAGAACTCTTTACCATCTGCAGTATTCATCCTCACCCCATCGGTCACCATGTTTACCGATCACCGTGCAGAGTTCTGGTATCAGATCACCATCTACGATGGAGGGTCACTTTCTCCCGGCTTCGACCATTGTTGGCAGCTTCAGGAAGCATGCTGTGTGTGTAAAGCGTTGTCGTACAGAAGCGCCGCGAGAAAGCAAGAGAAACAAACGCGCAAGTGAGTTGCATTGCACTTGCGTGTGGGAACGAAGGAGTGCTACTCTGCAATCGTTTGCTTAATGTCAGAATTTACATCAGCGCTTTTGTCCGTGAGAGGAATGTTCGTTCATTGCTTCTTGTAACCTTTAGTATAACGGCAAACCAGCGCGCTCATTATCGGAACTCTTTCATTAAAAAAAGGCGCAGTACTTTTTCTTCTCAACATTTTTTTTCGATTCAGAGTGCTGCTTTGATCGGTATAGTGTTGTTATAGTCAGCTGAGTTTTTGCAATTTTCAGTGAACTCGTCGTTGGCTGTGGATAGCCACTCGCTGGCGAGTCGTATGGAATTGACTACCCTTCCTAATGTTACGCGGTTCTCTGAAGTTGCTGTTAAGGTGGGAGCTGTTAAGGTTTTTACGTGTCCTCATGCACAATAAGTTTCTGACCTTGTTAAATCTGTAAAAAACTTGAGAGGGTCGCAGGTGTCTTTCTGATGATCTAGCTTTCTAGTTCCTTAACTACGAAGTAGTAATCAATGACTAACTATTTTGAACGGTCAAAGTGTGTCTATTCCGTAATTTTTGCTTTCCTAGCATCACCAGGATGCCTTTCTTCTGTACACATGCAATATGAATGCTCCTCATCTCTTGTTATTCATTGAATTTACACCTAGCTGTGCGCACTTTTCGACATCATGCAGTGTTTTGAAGTCGCCTATGTTTAGAGAAGAAGGTTTCTGGTTCCAAACGAGTGTTGCTCTGAAATCTACTTTCAGGAAGAACCTGGAGAAAGCCCTCCACCTGATGCACTTCCAAGTCCACCACAATTCGACCAGACCATGGTATGTGTTTGGTATTTTTACGAAACATTTCTTCCTAAGACTTTGCGTAGAACTGAGATGTATTGAAATGAATTCCAGAATGCTTGTCAAAGAGATGATGCAGCGGGAGGGAAGGTTGTTGGAGAGAAGGTAACGTGATCTTTGTCTCTTAAATTGCAGCAATAATGTTTCTATTGTCTGCCTTTTAGGAGCGTGAAGAATTTTGGGCGCTAGGAATAGCAGAGATGAAGAAAGGCCATGAGATAATTGAAACAAGATCTAAGATTGAAGGTCTCCAGAAGCAGCTCTTTGAAGCCACCACCTTTCTCCAACAGGTATAGTGTTTATGTAGTAGTGTCAGCATCAGACTCAGAAATGATACTTTTTCAAATTTCTGTGAGAGCTGCTGTAAGGCAAGAAAGTAAGAAGTCTATATGTGGGGGAGCCGTCTCACCTCTATTGCTCAGTTGATGCTAAATTCGCTTTTTGACTTATCTGATGGATCATATTTTAGCTGGAGGTCGAGATGAACGAAATTCTCCGCAGGAAGTCTGAGTTGCTTGGATTACCGGTCCCTAGTACACTTGTGTGATCGCGTAGGACTTTTATTACTTGTAATCTTCCCTGTTTTTCACAGTGAAATCTAAAGCGCATTTATGTCTTGACGGCGTTGAGGTAATGAATAATTTACAAGATGACTGTGC